GAGAGAGAGAGAGAGAGAGAGAGAGAGAGAGAGAGAGAGAGAGAGAGAGAGAGAGAGCTTGGTGACATTTGGATCCGGACTCGACATTGGACTTCAGACATTTTGAAGAGGGATTATTTGGGACCTGTAACGAGACTTGGTGTTGACGACTTTCCCATCTTCCCCTTCCTCTTCTTCGTCTGATCCCCTCCTCTTCGTCTGTGTATGTCTGGACCTGGCACCTCCTTCCTGTGTATAGCGCCAGGTCCCCTTCACAACTTGTGATGAGAATGATGTATGTTGGGTCTGCGTTGCAACATTGGTTGGGCTAGTCATTGTTATTCTAGCATTCTGCTATGCTATCTTGCACTACATGATAGAGGTCAGTTTCGGTCAAGTCGGGACTTGTATCTGAGCGTATGTATCAGAATGTACACTGCTTGTTGAGATTTCACTTGCACTGCATTGTCCATTCAGTCCTTTTTATCACATTGCGGATCCTCGGTTTATTATGTACATCGCCCAACTGGGCATGTAATACAAAGGTGATGGCAAAAGTCAACCGGATTTGGTTGGCAAACGGTGAAGTGGTGTGGCTAAACGGACTCTGCTTGAGATGGAAGGATTGGCATAACTCAGACACAGCAACAGGTCGGATATCTCCCGGACACAAGAAGAATCATCTACAATCTGGGTATAGCCGAACAACTTGGTAGACCAGAAAAGACGACAACAGCAAGGCGTTCATAGACAGACGAGGACACCGTGGTTTTAGAGAAGGCACAGAGAGAGCCCAGCAACAATGAACAAGGGAGATTGGACAGGGTTCGGTCTCTCTCAGAGTCTAGAGCTTTAAGTAGACCCGACAGCCAGGATACACCCTGGCTAAGAGGACTGATAAAGGCAAGCTGACAGTCAATCCTCCATGTAGATGGAGCACTCAATGCTGGACAGGGGTCCTTCGGCCAGACGGAACGAAGTGTGTGTGTGTGTATTGTTGTATTTTCTCTACCTGCCGGTGGAAAAGGAACCGGACTGACGCTCCCCAGAATGGATATGGAGCCAGGACCATAAGGCCCTGTTTTCGGGGGGAAGGGGGGGGGGGGGGGGGAGGAGGGAGGGAAACATTTTTTAATTATATTTTTTATTTTAAATTAGGCACGGAATTTCGATGTGACCCTGAGGCAAAAGTTGTTCAGTTCGTCTTTCTGCATAACATAGATTTTTTCGGGGATACTTTGGAATTTGTTTTGGGATACATACTTTGGAATTTTCTTTGGGATACTTTGGATTTTTTTTTTCCATTTTGATTTTTGCTGGGATTCCCTTTTTTGGGGATATTTTGGAATTTTTTTCCATTTTGATTTTTGCTGGGATTCCCTTTTTTGGGGATACTTCGCAATTGTTTTCCATTTTGATTTTTGCTGGGATTCCCCTGGTCCACGGCCGAGCCTCCCAGGAAAACAAGGTGACCCGGGCGGCCCAGCCGGTAACCTAGGTTTTATACCATATTGTTGACAATATGGCATTGTTTATTGCCTAGGCCCTACCCACCAGCGATATATGAAGCCCTTTCCAATGGTTCACTCTGCAGGGCTGGTCCCCGGTTGGACCAGGGGCCCCTCCTCCAACCGGCAGCCTGCCGGTTGGATCGGACTGTAGACTAGCCCCGCAGGCCCCTGGTTGAGGCCAGCGCATCATGCTGAGGAGGGGGGGGGGGGGTGTTATGGGGGATCCGCGGGCGTCCCCGCAATTGCCAAGCCCCCGGGAGGCTACTGCCTCCTTAAAAAAAAGGAAAAAAACAACGGGCCCTTTTGGACCCCACGTCCACATGTTCACTTTAAGACGCGGGGTCCAACAAGCCCCAGTCTATCAATTTGAAAACGGAGCCGGCTCTGATCTGCAGATCAGCGGTCAAAACTGGCCACATTTTCAAGAAGTGGAAATGCAACCATTCCACATTGGCATTGCGCGGTCTGATAGACCACGGCCCTACTGTAATAGACAGGAGTCCATCCTCGTACTCTGAGAGACGGGAGAATGGAAACTTCATGCTTTAGCACAGGCTTTGCTGCGTTTATATGGTTCTCAGACATCCCTGCGTTCTGGGCAAAACGTTATGGGTTTAGGTTCCGCTTGTGAAATCAGAGGCAGTCCGAGGTGCAAGCCAAAGAATGGACCTCACTCCACTACATGTATCTGGGCAGCTCACCAGGCAAGATACTTTCGGACTGATGAACCACCGTATGTAGGAAAAAACAACGGGAAGCTCTCTGCCTGCACGAGCTGAAACCTGAACCCATAATGTTTTGCTTTAGAGCACAGTACCTCGAAGAGCTATAAGTTCAGGCAAGCACCTTCCAACAGCATATGCAATTCGACCTCTTGGGTGCCACAGTCCGATGGCACAGGTAAACTGCTTTACTTGCCCCTCCACCTAAAGGCCAACCTCCCAGAACCCACCCCATAATATCCCCCCACACCCACCCCTTTGGGAATCCCCCCCCAAAAAATTGTGCCGTCCAAGTTTTTTGAAGGATTTGAACAGATCTCGAGGAGCGCAGGAGTCCGCTGACAAAAAAATGAAAAAGGGAAAAAAGTAAAAAAACAGGATTTTTTTTTCAAAACCGGTTTTCCGGTTCAGCAGCACTTGGCTGGTCCGGATCCGGGTGGACCGGGGGAAGTGAACCGGCCGGTTGCCGGCCCAGCCCTGTCACTCTGTCAATTGCTGTCTTCCCAGGGCATCACCGTGGTCTTTAGAGGGGGCCAAGGCCATGAGCCGCACCGCAAGAACTCTGATGGCCTCCTCCCTTGGTCTTGGGCTGAGCGAGGACTGCAAACTAAGTCCATCCTTCAGTTCTCCTTCCCATTGTGAGCGCTATGTGACTGCTGACGCCAGTCAGCACAGTCCTTTTCCTCAACACCCTTCATGCCATGCTCCTCCTGCCGAAGCATTAGTCTGACTGCCCCATCGTCCCCCAAAAAAATAAAAAAGGAAAAAAATTGGGATTTTTTTTCTAACCGGTTTTCCGGTTAAGCCCCCCTGGGATGGTCTGGATCCGGGTGGACCAGGGGAGGCGAACCGGCCGGTTGTCGGCCCAGCCCTGTCACTCTGTCAATTGCTGTCTCCCCGAGGCATCACCGTGGTCTTTAGGGGGGGCCAAGGCAGTGAGCCGCACCGCAAGAACTCTGATGGCCTCCTTCCTTGGTCTTGGGCTGAGCGAGGACTTCAAACTACGACCATCCTTCAGTTCTGCTTCCCATTGTGATCACCATGTGACTGCTGACGCCAGTCAGCACAGTCCTTTTCCTCAACTCCCCTAGACCTCACGACTTCATGCCACGCTCCTCCTGTCTCTTATACACATCTAGATGTGTATAAGAGACAGCTCTTATACACTGACACGTCAGAAGATACACAATATGTTGATTCCAGAAGATACACAATATGTTGATTCCAGGAACGAACTTCCGGCGATACCTTTTTTGCCCAGTGAATCCATTTGCCATTATGGGATGGATTGCGACCACCTGTGTAGCACACCGAGCATGTTCGGAGCTTTTCCAAACGTCCGAACATGTTCGGGTGTTCGGAACGCCTCCCGAACGTGTTCAGTCGAACATATTAGGAAAAAAAAAAAAACTTTAAAAAACATTTTTTTTAGGTCGTTGATTTTTATCTCGAGTTTGGTTACGAATGTAAGCATACCTCCCAAGAAAAAGTTATTTGTATTATTATTTTATTAACATATATTTTATTCAGATTTTTCTGAGTTTTTTTTATTTTTATTTTTTATGTTTGCGTTCGGAGGTTTTGGCGCTCGTTCGAGCTCGGTCACGAACGTTCGGGTTCGGTCACCGAACCCGAACACGATGACCACCAAATTTCCCTCCAAGGACTTCCGCATAGCTTCAGCGGGACCTGCAAACCTGTAAACACCCCAACAAACATGCTCTTCTGGTTCAAGAGTGATGCACAACTTCATCATAAGCAGCTCACACAATGTGGCAGGACCCGATCAGAGGCAAAATATTTGGGCAGAATCTAGTTGGAGTTGGAAGATTTACACCGATTCTGTCCAGGTAATATATTCTTGAGAAGCCCTACAGAGAAAAACAGTAGGCAGAAAGGGGAATGGAGAGCAAAAGAAAAGAGAGAAAAATACAAAACGGTGATTATTTAAAAAAAAACAAAAAAAAAAGGTCATTGAGGAGTCCATGGTCGTGAATTAAACAAGAAAAAGCACGCACCGCATTTGGCAAGCAGTCTGAAAAACCGCAACATCAAGCTGGTATTGAACCAAGTACATGTCCACCACAGATCAACGAGCTCCGACCCAACGAAACCCAAGCGACGGTCACAAAGAAGATGACATACTTCGGGACCCTCCAATCGTTCACGGGATTCACAATTGTGCTATCAGTCATGGTGACTATCTTGTACAGTTCGCAGAGGACTCGACTATCCGATCCTCCCAAACAACTCTCCGCATGAGTGTGTGTCAGCTTGCAACTTTTCCATTTCCAAGCACCAAGGCCTCCACCTCTTATCGGCTTGACACATTCCCGTTTCCTTACGCACCACTCTTCAATTGACTGACACCCTGCTTCCATCTGCAAGTATGAATCCACCCGATGACAGAGCTCCGCCGAAAATCAATGAGATGAGAATTGTCTTGCTGCTGAGCGAGCCCACTCGCTACTCTGCTACTGTTCCACCCAAAACAAATTTTGGAAAGGGAAACGAAAATAATTCAAACCGTAGTCCATGACTGCTACTGTTCCACCCAAAACAAATTTTGGAAAGGGAAACGAAAATAATTCAAACCGTAGTCCATGAAGCCAGAGCACGAGTCATGCACGACTCCTTTTATTGAGATGACTAACAGGACAGCATGCAAATTAGAACTCAAACCGCCATCGCACCCAAGAAAGATATCAATGCCCACTGGGAATTGTTTTCCAAAAGAGTGCTGACAAAAGACACATCACGCCCAGAGCAGCACGCCATGTCATGATGCACCAACCAGGTTATTATTGAATTACAATTTAATCGGTCTCCAACTACCCAGGCCTTCAATGGGAATCACCGGCAACATCTAAGACAAATGACGATGCAGTGCGCAACGAGGGTAAAGAAAAGTAGAGGGGAGAAAGGAAGAGTCACAGGAGCTTTAAACTACGCAACACGGAGCAAAAAAGAAAAAAAGTCAGCCAAAGGAGTGAGAGGAAAAGATGGAACAGGAAAGGGGGGGGCACAGTTCATTGAGTATACCAAGCCTACGACACATATCTTCAGCAGATGCCGCCTTCTACCTCTGTCGCCTATCCGGCAACCTCGCCTTGGCAGCTCAAATAATCGAAGACCTTGGGCCAGAGGAGGAGATGTGCGCACAATCCGACGGGGACACACGTTTGGGAACGGCCGCCGCTCAATGAAACTTCTGCACATGGCATGCCCTGAAACTCTCTGTGCCTGGCACCTCCAGTTCGACTAGTCAGCCAACAGCCTACATACACCAAACATTATGGATATTATTAGATACTTCATTGAGCACATGGTAACTCAACCAACTTTTCACACTTGGCTCGACCAGTAACTTCAATGGCATCAACTACAACTGATGTGCTTCAGACCAATCAAGTTTTGCGTGGAAGCAGCAAATAGATTGACGACAACGGGTTTCTGGTCACCTCATAAGCGAAACTGGCTAATGCTGGCAGGATAACCCTGGGTTGAATTGTGAAGTCCCCGGCCTCAAATTTCCAAGCTTTTAATGAAATGATCCGGCTTTGGTTGGGGAAACAAAGAAAAAAGATTGACGATGATCCATGCATACGCACATGGTTCATCCAGGACGATGATCCATGCACGGACTCCATCTCAGACAGCTGTCAAATTTAGTCATCTCGCCACCAGACGACTGGGAAGCCACATGAGCTCTTACGCAATATCACCATTGTCACATCAGCTCCTAAACCACAACTGCCTCCGACCCTCTTTTACCCATGGCACATTTCCACTGCACGCTTTAAAAAAACGACCTGCCACTGGGACGTTTTCGGATTTCGTTTTTTTTCTGTTTTTCTTTTTTTTTCCCGATGGACCACGGATAAGATATTAAGTTGATCAGAACAGATACTACACTTGATCTTAGCCAAACAGCCGAGAAAGGTATTTTTTTGGGATTTTTTTTTATACTTGTCCCATAGCACTATTCATCCGGAACTTGACACATCAGCTCTTGAACTACCACTGCCTCTGATCCTCTTTTTCCAATGGCAGATTTCCCCTGCGTGCCAGAATGGACAACCTGCCGCTGGGACGTTTTCCTTTTCGCTTTGGCTGGCACCGCCAGCCATCTTTATCCCGTAACACTGTTTATCTGAAACTTGTGCTGGTGGTCATATTAAACCACCAGTACCTCGCCCTGCTAAAAATTCCCGACGCGGCCGTTAACGCGCTGCATCGGACGGGGGTCAGGGGAGGAACGACCGGTGATGACAAGAAAAACAGGAAAAGAAACAGGTGTGTGGAGAGAGAGAGAGAGAGAGAGAGAGAGAGAGAGAGAGAGAGAGAGAGAGAGAGAGAGAGAGAGAGAGNACAACAAGCCAACAAGACTAACAAACACAGACGTGACGTGTCATTCAAAGTAGGGGACAAAGTCTGGCTTTCTGCCAAACGCTTTGAACCCGAACAAGGCTTGTCCAAGAAACTCTCGAACAAGTGGCTCGGTCCCTTCCCCATCATTGAACAAACCTCCCCCGTCAACTACAAACTCCAACTCCCCCCTGACATGAGTCGTGTCCACCCAGTCTTCTATGTCGAGTACCTAAAAGAATACCATGAATCCCCGCTCCAATTCGCCGACCGCCCATACCCTAGACCTCCACCAATCATTCTACCCATAGGCCCTGAATTCGTTGTCGAAACCATCATCGGCCGACGAACCACTCAGGTATCTGATCATCCGGAACCAATCACTGAATACAAAGTCAAATGGATCGGATACCCCAACGAAGAATCTACATGGGAACCTCTCTCTAATCGTAAGAACGCCATGAAACTTGTCCGCGCCTATGATCGTGCTAATCCTACGTCCTAGATACCTATACCACTATGGCATAAACCCCCGCTAAAAACCCTTGCAACCCTGCTCTACACACACCCTTGAACCCAATCCACCCTTCCCTTGATCCTCGTTCCTGATGTCTGATCTCCCCTTGCCCTCGCCTAGCCTTGTCCCATCTGTCCTCTCCACTACCTTGTCTCTCTTGTCCAATGCTTGTGAACTTGCGTGATGCCGGCGATAAAGGATCTAACGGCAAGCGCACGAGGACGATGATCTGTTGCCTCACTGTTCATGGAGAATATGCAGCTGGTGTGGCCACCATGCTGTTTCATTGGCCGGCATCCCGACTCGCGGACTTACTGGAGCAGCAACTTGTGACATGGATCTTTGCATCAGCCTGCGACTTCCTTGCTTCCAGATCAGACCTCATTGCAGTTCGTGTACCGGACGCACCCTAGCACTTCGACTTTGACACTTGAACTATTACTACGCTTCTTGGACTTCTACCTATCGCAGCTGCTGAAAACCGCTTCTACCACCTACTCCAAAAGACCTGATCAAGACCGCTGCAGACCCCCTTTCAAGACACTTGGACACTTTGTTCCTACATGAGATTCTGCTTCCGACTCCTTCGGACACACCAGCCTTCGCATCCTGAACAAACATTTTCATTTTTATTTTTCCTGACTTTGACAACCCTGTAGAACATCATTAGCAGATCCCTGTTTCCCTAACCATTGTTCCCCGTACCCACTAGAACATCAATAGACATCCCCTGTTCCCCTGACCATTGTTTCCCTTACCCACTACAACATCAATAGAAATACCTTGTTTTCCTTAACACCGTTTCCCTTACCCAGTAGAACATCAATAGAAGTTCCCTGTTCCCTGAACTCTGTTCCCCCTTAACCTATAGCGAACCATGCAGTCCCCCTAGTTCATCAGTAGGACAACTCTGTTCACCGGTACCAAACCCTGTTCCCTCTTACTCCCGCAGCCCATGCCACCCACATTATACCCCTCTTCCTTTTCGACTTGTTAACCAGTGATCGGGCCCGTCCCGTCCTTCACAGATTTCAGCATTGCTTCATGATTTTTGGCAGCCGAGACGTTGCCTTCTAGAGGGAGGGGATAGTGTAATGGACTTCACCAGGGCTCGATCCCTGGTCTATCTTTTGCTGTTTCAGCTGCATCCCGTTTTCGGCCTGGCACCCTTTTTTCAAACCCCTCCTTTGGTACCGTAGGATTTTGGACAACTGGCACCATGCTGCAATTCGGGCGCCACTTTCAAATACTGCATTTTTCAGTTCTGCCCTCGGGGCCTTTGCAGAAATGCCCCTGGTACCGTACGTGTCACTGGTACTTATACCGGCTCCCCGTACGGTACGGGGACCAATCTCGTACCAGTTCTCTGCTGCTGTACTCGTACTCAGTGTGACTTGTTGTTTTCGGCATTCGGGAATCCAAGACTTGGACTTTGTGCCTTGCCACTGTGTCTGCGTCCGATCCTCAGTCCGAGTCCGTCGTGTCGAGTGAGTGTGTGTGTGTGTGCTCTCACTCTCTCCCTCTCTCTCCTCTCCCTCGGCTCACTTTCAGCCTCACGCTGGTTACACTCATCATCATCAAAATGAACCAATGTCGAATCCCTATCTGGCGCTCAGCGGCCAGACTACGAATGGCAGATCCTATAGCCCATCTCCAATGCTGCTGATGACGTCAACAGAGCCTTCCGAAGTACGAGCAGATCTCGGCCAACTTGAATGTCGTTCGCTTCAAGCACCAGGTATGTCTCACACTTCACTCACAACCTCGAATTGTCGCTCCGGCTAGGAGTTCTACCTTCCCTCTTGTGATTTAATTTTATATTATTCCCTTATCTTAACTATCTATGTCCAGCATTGAGACGCGTGCGCAGAAAGCGCAAAGAGAGAGAAGGCTACTTGATTGAGCGGGTCCTTCTTGATTTCCTGATGAGTAATCAAGAGATCAAGCAAGCTGGCTACTTGATTGAGCGGGTCCTCTGGATGAGAGGTCCGATCCGATGCCGAATTGTTGCATACTGTAACGGTGCAGACCAGAACCGAATTCTCAATACAAAGTACATAATAGCGTAGCGGAAGACTTAGATACCAATGATCCAAACAATCAATATTGCAATGCAGCCCTGAACATACATCATCATCATCGTTCCATGGTGTGAAAGGGGGTTTGGCGACTGCGCCAGCCCCAACCATACACAGACGAAGANTACTGCATTTTTCAGTTCTGCCCTCGGGGCCTTTGCAGAAATGCCCCTGGTACCGTACGTGTCACCGGTACTTATACCGGCTCCCCGTAAGGTACGGGGACCAGTATCGTACCAGTTCTCTGCTGCTGTACTCGTACTCAGTGTGACTTGCTGTTTTCGGCATTCGGGAATCCAAGACTTGGACTTTGTGCCTTGCCACTGTGTCTGCGTCCGATCCTCAGTCCGAGTCCGTCGTGTCGAGTGAGTGAGTGTGTGTGTGTGCTCTCACTCTCTCCCTCTCTCTCCTCTCCCTCGGCTCACCCTCAGCCTCACGCTGGTTACACTGGTATCGGAGCGGTTCGAACCCGCCCCACTCCCGTTGCCACTCCTCCCCTCCCGATCCCATTACCCCCTCTTCCACCAGCGCGCCCACTCCTCCTCCCGCTGCGCCCCATTTCTTCCCCCCCCCAACACGCAACCCGTGCGCGACCCCCGGGTCCGCTCTTCCACCCTGCGCAACTGTTCCCCCCCCCACGTCCCCGCCCCAACATCATCATCATCACCAATCTACCCCTGCCCTACCTACCACGCTACCACCCAATCAATAGTAGATAGGATCGCCCCGCCCTCAATTTACATCAAAATTCATTTCTAGAATCCATTTTATATTCTTTTTTTTCTACATTCGAAAATACTCAAACGCATATTCTTTCTCAAACGTATTTTTTTCTTTTGAAATTTTCGAAATACATAGGATTAAGCATTCTCTCGCGACATTTCATCTTCGAAATTCGAAAATCAGTTTAATCAATTCTTTTTTCGATTTTTTTTTTTCTCGAAAATTTCAGAATTAATTAAATTCTTTTTCGACATTTCTTTTTCATAATTCAAAAACATTCCTTATTCTTTTCGGAATTTTTGTAATTTGGAAAACATTTTAGAATTAATCAAACTCTTCCTTTACGTAACTCGAAATACGTTAGAATTTTTTATTTTTTTTTCTTTCGACATTTCTTTGAAATTCGAAACTACTTTCAATTCATTCGTTTTTCTTTTCGAAAACTTTGAAAATATTTTAGACCTAATTTAATTCTTTTTCAACATTTCTTTCTCAAAACATTTCTACTTAATTTTATTTTTAATTTTTTTCAAAAATTTAAAAAATACGTTAGAATGATTTAAATTCTTTTTTTCAAATATAATTCTAATTAATTCGTTTTCCTAGTATTTTAATTCACAATTTCTTTTCGCAACTTCTTTTCGCAATTTTTTTTTTTTTGAAATTCGAATTAATTTCGACCAAATTCAATTAATTCACGACTGAATTAATCTCTTTATTCGAAATTAATTATCCTTTTTCTGAAATGTCGACATTCTCCTTTGAAAATTTCTTGCCAAATATTTTAAAATTTTCCTCTTCCTAATTCTTTTCAGAATTTATTCATTTTCCCCCTGTAATTTGAAAATATTTTCTTTTGAAATTTCACGTTTTCTTGTCAATAAATTTAAATCTAAATCAGAATTTATTTTTTCGAAATTAATTAACTCTTTCTGTTCAGCGTTTCTTTTTGAAAAAAAAAAAAAAAAAAAAAAACCTTGGGGATTATCTTTATTTTGACTTTATTAATAACTAAATAAGGCATTCCCCCCCCACCCTCCACATGCCACCACGCCAAACCAAGAACTCCAAACACGCCGCCTTCGCCGCCGCCGCTGCTGCCGCCGCCACCGCTGCTGCTGCATCCTCCACACCCGCTCAGGCCACGTCCTCCACCCTGCAATCAGACTCGTTTCCAAACACACTTTTCACACATGTAAACGGTAACGCAGCATACTGGCGACATGCGCCCACTCAAAACTCAGAGATATGGTTTTCAGATACGAGTTCACTCCCAATTGGCTATGGCGACCTCAGCACCCAAACATCTSACTGTTCACATACACTGGATCACCCTGGATATCCCACACGCATCACTCTAACACWCGAGCACACACACACACTCACTACTAACTACAGCTATGGCAGCTATGGCTGCCTCTAACCTATCGCTATGCTAACTCCTCC